TGGTTGGTTGTATTGTCAACCTTGTTTTGTGGTCTCTCTGGTACCGAGCTGGGGAAGTTAGCTGGTAAACCAGTCTGTGCTTAGGTGTACCTTCTAGTTGTTTGGAGATCGGCTGGTTTATTTATTTATTTTTCTATTTTCGCTGTAGTTTCTAAAATGGGAATGCTTATACTCAGACCATTTCAGTTAACGTCAAGATTTTGATTGCCGGGTTGATTTTGATTTTGATTCCCTTTCTTTCTGATCAGATTTTTGATGAAAACTTTTAATCAGGATGGGAGGGTTGTTTGTTTCCCAAGAAAAAGTATTTTAATCTTCCATACACATTTAGTATTTCAGAAGCTGGACAAATCTCACCATATGTTTAATAAGTCTAGATTCTGCTTATGTTTGCAAGTGCAGTGCTAATTTTATACAATGAGCAATGATAAGGTCTAGATAGATCATGATTAAGCTTAGTATTTTAAGTAAACAAAATATGACCGACCTTTAAAATTGTTTTTATAATTTTATTGATTATTTTATGCCTTCATGCCACTTACTAGTAATTGAAATTTGACCAACCAGAGTTCTTTTAAGTCAGCGAGGCATTTCTTGGTATATTAATGGCTGCATTCATAATGTGTAGGGAACTTTTTTTTTAATAAAATATAATGCTTAACTTGTATGAGCTTTGTTTTCCTTAAATTTAAAAATTATTTTTATGTGTGTTAAGGTAAAGATGTGCAAAAATATTTGATTTTTGGGTTTTTTTTTTTTGTATTTATGGAAAACTTGTTCCTTAGATTCTTCCCTACTCCCCACTCTTTTCTAAGAAAAAAATATTTGTGGAGAACTGTATATTTAAAAACTATGTTTTAAACAGGTAAGGTGAGCCTGAAGTCTAGAACAGGCTGGCCATTAAATGTTTCATATTTATATTTGGACATTGCTGACTACAGTAGCTAAACATACATATTAGGCAAGCAGATCATAACATGGTGAGACAGTCCTAGTTTATTGTCATAATATTTTTTCCATTGAACTACTCATTATCTTGTTTATAAACCAGTCACTGGCTTCTGGGCATGGGGTTTTAAAGTCACATTAAAGTGGATGGTTTGTATGAGATAATTCTTATAAACATGCTTGAAAAGAAGCTGTAGATCATATTATTTTAATTTTTTAGATGTTCTGTCATAGGATACCATAAAGTAGCAAGTATGGCACTGATATATAGGCTTTATATTTAAAGTATTGAAAGATTTTTTTTTTTTTTGGTAAGGGAATTGAACCCATGGATACTTTTCCACTGATCTACATCCCCAACACTTTTTATTCTTATTTTATTTATTTTTCTTCAAACCAGAGATTAAACCCAAGGGCACTTAATAATGAACACATCCCCAGCCCTTTTTATTTTGAGCAAGTTCTCCCTAAGTTGCTTAGGGCCTTGCTAAGTTACTGAGGCTGGCCTTCAACTTGTGATACTCCGGCCTCTAACTCCAGAGTACTGGGATTACAGGCGTGTACCTTACCATGCCCAGCTCTTTTTTCTTTTCTTGCAACTTTAAAAAACATCAGCTATTAAATTAACTTTTTGATTGAACTTTTGTTTTTAAATATTGATTCATGAACACTGAAGTACGGAAGGAGGAAGGGGAAAATGCTAACTTCAGAATGTGGAAATATTGTTACTCAAACATGATTCATATTCATGTAAATGGCATACTTGTTTGAATATTATTTTCCATTTGAATGATAAAAATGATTCTGGTCACTGTTGAAGTTAAGTTTGTCAGGTAAGAGGAGTTAACTTACTAAATGCTGTTCTCATTGTAGCAGTTCAGCAAGTATGATGATAGGTAGACTAGAGTTACACTATTGATGGTTAATTCAAAGGCATAGAGATGTAGTTGCCATTACAACTTCACCTGCGTTTGGATGTGAAAAGATGTCATGGCAACATTTAGATTAAAGGATTTCTAAAGAACTTTGAAATTCTCCATATTTAAAATATCCTTCTACTAATTCATGTGTCCTAACTATTAGAGGACACAGAATAAGTTGATATATCATTTTATTGTTGCTGCCAAAATAAATATTTCTGTTTAAAATTTGTGGGTTGCAGCTGTCCTAGTTTCTTAATGTTTGAAATTGAGACTTCCAATGTGGTATGGTGAACTTGGAAGTTACTTCTGAGGACAAACTACTAAAACTTGTTAAAATGGAAGATTATATCAACTGTTTTTTTTTTATTTTTAAAGTTACTCACTTTCCTCTACTCTGTAACTGGGATGTAGTATTATTTTTCTTTGTGGGAACAAAGAAAATTTTTGCAGGAAACTTTGTCATGGGCAAATTTTATATGATACAAATGTAATTCAAGAGAAATTATCTTAAATGCCCTTACTGATTCTGGATCCAGTTGTTTAAAAGACATATGCTGCTGGACATGGTGGCACATGCCTGTAATCCTAGGGGCTCTGGAGGCTGAGGCAGGAGTATCGAAAGTTCAAAGCTAGCCTCAGCAACTTAGTAAGATCCTAAGCAACTTAGCCAGACCCTGTCTCAAAATAAAAAATAAATAAAAAGGACTAGGGATGTGGCTCAGTGATGAAGCGCCCTGAGTTAAATCTCCAGTACTAAAAGGGGTGGGGGAGATATATTTTTGCCTTAACATAACTTGAATAAGGATAGTTTTGAATCATTGGAGATGTAGGATAGTCAGAGTATGTGTGTCCAACTTAAGGAAGTATATATAGTTTACTTCTTTCGGTTGGGTTGGGACAGTTAAGAGTGGTTTGGGGAAAAACAGTATTAGTGTGCTGCTGCTGCTACAGCTTTGTCATAGCTGTCTTTAGGATCTCATTCATTTTGGACCAAAGTAGAATAGATATTTGGAGAATGTATGTTGTAAATTTTATATAAGTGCTTGTCAAATTAGACCTTGAGTTTTTTAGGGGATCAGGCTGTTCTCAGTTGGTACTTGGGCCATATGTTGCTAAACAAAGACAGCATATTGCCTTGATTCTGAGACACCATTGTTATGTTAGGGACCAAGAGCTTCTGCTTTTATTACTTGTGAGGAAATTAGAAGAGATGAGTATTGTCAAGATTGTATTTTTAGGGTGGCTTCTGTGGTTTGGGGACACTGAGCAGATTTACTTGGCCTTTTTTTCCACCCCATGGTACTGGATGGGTACTTTTACTGCTGAGCTACATCCGCAGCCAAACCCCTGCCACCCCTTGAAATTGTCTTGCTGAGTTGTCCAGGCTGGCCTCAAACTTGTAGTCCTCTTGCTGCAGCCTCCCAAGTCACTGGGCTTACAGGCATATGTCACTATGCCAGGCTAATTTTGTCTTAATGGGTAGTTAATGCCAAGTCGGTACTTTAGAAAGCTCTTGTTTTCCAACAAAGTTTTTGTTTGTTTTTTGTTTCCTTTTTTTCCAGCAATGGATGAACCCAAGGCCTCATGTGTGCTTGACAAGTGTTTTGCCAATGAGCTATGTCTTCAGCCTTATTTTATTTTTATTTTGAGACAGGGTCTTACTAAGTTGCCGAGGCTGGCCTAAACTTGTGATCCTCCTGCCTCAGCATCCCAAATTGCTGTGTTACAGGCATTTGCCACTCTCCGCCAACAGAAAGTTTTTGAAATGAAAGAAACCAAGGACAGTACTTTTGATCTTAAATGTATTTTGTTAACTCAAATCATATGATTTCTCTAATTTTCTAAAGTGAAAATTTTCACTCCCCTGGGAGTCTGAGTAGGAAGGAGTATGTGAGGCAGGTAAGAAGGGCGAAGCTGGGAAATAGTAGGGGGAAGAGTTAGGCTTAATTAGATTTGGGAGACCAAATATGTTTAAGTGCTCA